GGGGTCTGCCGCCACCTGCTGGCAGCTCCCCGGGATTTCCACAGGAGGATGCTGAGTCAGCATAGCGGTGACAGAGCCGATGGGGTCTGCCGCCACCTGCTGGCAGCTCCCCGGGATTGCCACAGGAGGATGCTGAGTCAGCACAGCGGCGACAGCACTGACGGGGTGTGCCGCCACCTGCTGGCAGCTCCCCGGGATTTCCACAGGAGGATGCTGAGTCAGCACAGCGGCGACAGAGCCGACGGGGTCTGCCGCCACCTGCTGGCAGCTCCCTGGGATTTCCACAGGGGGATGCTGAGTCAGCACAGCAGCCGGCCAGCCGACAGGTCACACAGCCACCGAGGCACGATGACACCGAGGGGTTTTAAGCTCTCGGACGCTCACGGGATCACCGGCCAGAGGCCGGCTTTCCACAAGAACTGGACGCAAGGTCCTGCAACTCCCTCACAGGAGGAGTGACCCTTGCTCCAAGCCTGCCATAGCGGGCATCTCTACGATACTGAACGCTGCCGCCTGGGCCGGCCTGCCATGTAGGCATGCCCTTTCAGGCAGGGGCACTACCGCCTGGGCCAAAGATTGTCCTGGTGTAACTGTTTTTCCCTTAATTCATGCTCTGCACCGACTGCTCTAGACATTCCTCTGACTATAAACCAAGATATAATTATATATATAAAAGGAAATAACTTAGTAAGATATTCTTCAAGTACTAACTGTTCCAACTATAAACTAAGATAAGATTATACATAAGAGATTATATAAAAGGAAATAACTGAGTAGTAACACTATAAGCTAAGATATTCTTCAGGCACTAACTGTGCGGGAGATCTGCTTAGCTCTCCCTCCTCAGTGCCCAGAAGGGGGGGTTACCCACAGCCCTGCACCCTTCCACCCCGGCCTTCACCCGCCCTGCACCAACAACACACAGCTCTCTGTCCACCAAGACTTTGCTTTGCTCCCTAGTCAGTTTCAAATCCCATTCTCCAAGAACACTTCTCTGGACTGTTCTGTAAATTCTAATGTGTCATGTCCAAAGCCAACCGCAAACTCACCTTCTCCCCAAGCTTACCCCTCCTGCCCGTGCAGTCTCCCCAAATGCTGGTGTCTCCCCAGATGCTGTCTTCACCCCACATCCTGGCTTCTCCCCACACACAGGCCCTTGCTATCTGCCTCCTCCACCACCAAGGCCTTTCCATGACCCAAGCATAGCCGAGGACTGAGCCCCTCCGGGAGGCACCATTCAGGCAGCAGGCCATCCCTGGGACCCAGCAGCTCCATGGCTCTGTGGCGCCTCTGACGTGGGAAGACCCTCATGTTTCTTCTCTGTAGAAACAGTAAGATTCTCAATCTAAAACCTGGATGACAGAGGTGATGATTTAGAACTGAAGATTCCAAAAATTACCCATAATAAGGACTGCAGCTTCTGAAACAGAGCCAAACTCAACTGTTTAGGAGTTATTTGGCTAACTAGCCAAATAAACATTACAAAACAGGCGCTTATTCCTCGAAAGCCTCCTATAATTGAACAGCAAAATCCTAATTGGGTTTGGAAACAGACAGTGTGTCTTGGGGGGTCCATTATTAATGCCCACGGCCCCCTCCAGGGGGAAGAGAGTTGCACCAGCAGCCAGGCTCTCAGGAGGCCAGCAACGCGCATTCTCCCAAGGAGGCTCTCCTCGCTGCCAAGAGCCGCAGCGCAGAGCCCTATCCACGCTGGTCAGGCTCCGGAAGGCCAGCAGCAGCGCCCAGCACTCGCCGCATGGGCGGGAAAGCCAGGGTCTTCCCTGACAGTGATGCTGGGAGCTGGGTCTCACTCAGGCCACACAGGTACCCTGAGTGCCTCCCAGCCCTTGCAGAGCAGTGAATGCACCCCCAATTGCTGCCCTCCCGTCCAACGCTCCTGCCCCGCCACTCGCCAGCCCCAGTGCCCAGTGCCGCTGAGCTCCTGCAGAAGCAAAGCCCACCAGGACGGAGGGCTACCATCAGCTCCTCAAGCCACTTTCAGAAGGTTAGAGAAAAACTGTTTTGATTGTTAGTTACTAAAAAATGGTCAAACTGTGGCAGACTGGGGCATTCTTACAAGAGGACTCCTTTAAACAGATTTCAATCCACACCACTAAGCCTACACTGTCACCAACGGGGAACGGAGGGTGTGTGCACTAGATACTGACAGACAGCTCTTTCCAGTATCTCCAGAAACTTCTCCAAGTGGCAAAACAGTGCAGTTTAAAATGTTAGAATTTGGCCAGGCACAGGAGCCAACGCCTGTCATCCCAGCACTTTGGGAGGCCAGGGCAGACAGATCACTCAAGGCCAGGAGTTCGAGACCAGCCTGGCCAACGTGGCAAAACCTCATCTCTACTAAAAATACAAAAATGAGCTGGGTGTGGTAGCACATGCCTGTAGTCCCAGCTACTTGGGAGGCCAAGACAGACAGGAGTAATGCTTGAACCTGGGAGGTGGAGGTTGCAGTGAGCCAAGATCACCCCACTGCCCTCCAGCCTGGGTGACAGAGTGAGACTCTGTATCAAATAAAGTGTTAGAATTCCATTTACAAACTCGTGGGTGGTCACGTCATGGTCAGGACACTCCAGTCCTCCCCGTGACGAGGTGACGTCACCCCGTGTCGCTCCACGATGGCCCCAGACGGCTGGGCGCAGTCTACTCTCCGAGATGCGCAGACGCTCCTCCACCTGCTTTCCCACGTCCTGCATGCAGCTTCACTGACATCACGCAGACGTCACAGGGCTGAAGGGCGAAGTGTGCCGGGCATTCATCTGCTGGGTAGCCAAACCCTGGAGGTCCTCGGTCTCGACAGTCGGTTCCCAGGGGCCAGACACATCACCCACCGATGTGCTTCCATTGCAGGACCTCCTTCTGCTGCTATTTACTTGAAACTGACATACCAATCTCAATCCTCTCAAAGTACCCACTGCTCCTCACAGCCGTGGAAGTGTCTTGTTCAGGGCACTCACAGTGGGGAAAGGGTTCTGTCCTCTGGTGATTCTGCTGGTCTTTTTTTCCTTTTTCTTTTTTTTTTTTTGAGACGGAGTTTCGCTCTTGTTGCCCAGGCTGGAGTGCAACGGCGCGATCTCGGCTCACCGCAACCTCCGCCTCCTGGGTTCAGGCAATTCTCCTGCCTCAGCCTCCCGAGTAGCTGGGATTACAGGCACACGCCACCATGCCCAGCTAATGTTTTGTATTTTTAGTAGAGACGGGGTTTCACCATGTTGACCAGGATGGCCTCGATTTCTTGACCTCGTGATCCACCCGCCTCGGCCTCCCAAGTGTTGGAATTACAGGCGTGAGCCACCACGCCTGGCCCTGCTGGTCTTTCTTTCTAACAAGATAGTCGGGACTCTGGGATTCTGTTTTTGATAATGTCCTAGGTTCAGAAGGATGGGCAGGTTTTGAACAGCGGTGCATAATAGGTCTGACCCTAACAGCAGAAATAGCCAGCGAATGGCCGTGCTGGGCAGCCCAGGATATTAACTCGGGTCTCCCCACCACATGTCAACACAGCATTCGTATCCCCCCACTTCACACAGGAGGACTGAGGTAAGAGGCCCCATCCTCTCCTTCCCCCACAGGCTCTGGTCAGTGTGCTCCAGGGTTGAGGCCCCAGCTCTCTCTACTGGATCTGTGACTCAGGGCAAGATCAGCAGAGACACCGCCAGGTGCTCACAGCGACAACGCCTCCGGAGAGGCAGGAGACCAGTGGGAAGGTGACCTGCGGCTGCTCCAACCCAGGGACCCTCCCTACTGGGCACAGCTGAGGGTCTACAGGACTGCCACGGAAATCTTCTCTTTCAGGATCGTGGCCTGAAGGTCGCTGCACCTCATCCCCTCCCAACCCTGTCCCCGTGGCAGGTTATGGGTGACAAAGAGCTGTCTATCCTGTGTGCTTCCAAGTGGGGACAACCAGGCTGTGCCCTGCTGTTTAGCTGTGCCTGAGATGATGCCCAGTGGCTAGGTAAGGACAGGACAGATGTTCAGGGACATGCTTACATCCAACAGCCACGCCGCGGAGCGCCGGAAAAGGACAGAGTAGCCTGGCCCAGGGCTGCACTCCCACAGCCACGGCCCTGCACCCTCCCAGCCCCGTCCTGTACAGACACAGGGCCGCTGGAGCTGTGCGTCTGCAGGGACTCAAGCCATCGGTGTAGAAAATCAACTCCCTGTTCCAGAAGGAATCAAGTGTGTGACGTTGAGAACGCAGACGCCACTACCACTCCCGCGGGGGCAAGGGCATGAGCGAGGCCCCACCTGACGCCTACCCAGCTGCCGGAGCCTGGGGAGCAGGTGCACAACAAAAAGGCGGTAGTCAGACTCGGCCTTCACCACGGGGTTCAGCCGCAAGTCCACGTCCACAAGCTCGGTCAGGGAGTGGAGCCGAAACACTTCTGCTAGCGACGAGATGCAGTTGTAGTAGAGATTGAGACTCTGCAGCGCAGTCAGGTACTGAATACCCTGTTAACAGGAAGACACTGTGAATTCGTTCACACTTTAAACCAACCAACTTAATAAACACATTTGCAATAAACACATGCGTTACCAGGAAAAGTAGTAAAATGAGACACGTTCTCATTTGTGAAGTTCTCTGGGCCCCACGCCGTGAGAAGACCGTTTAGGGAAGCCACGTGTGCCGCAGCGTGACGTGACTGAGCACGGCTGGTACCTACTGAGGCCTCCGTGTGCACCAGGCTGAGTGATTCACACACACAATTTCACTTAATCCACACACCGCCCTACAGGGTGAGAACCATAGGGGCCCCAATTCGCAGATGAGAAAGCTGAGGCCTGGAAAGGGGAAGGATGAGGCCACACTGGGTGCAGCCTGGCTGGGCCCACGTCTGACTTGGAGCAGACTCCCGAGCTGCTGTCAGACACAGCCTCCATAACGTTCGGGCCCCACACTCGGGGCCCACGCTTGGGGCAGGCACATCCCACAGTCCTGTCAAGGCCAATCAGGCCACGGGCAGGGTGTGCACAGCTCCCCCTAGTAAGTCTCTGTGGTCTCATTTCATTTCCTTTAAAGATATAACCATCGTCAGCAGAGGGCTACAACACAATGTAACGTGATGTGTATGAAATCCAGCCCACGGCAAACACAATAAAACACAACACAGAGTCCAGTTTACAGGTATAAGCACACAGTTACAAAACAGACTCCGTTTCCACTGTAAATGTACTTTCCACTGATGTTGATAGCAATGAATTTTCTTTTTAGAAAGAGACCTAAAACTCACCTCCAGACTAACCAAGCAGTTGCGTGACAGATCGAGAGATTTCAGACCTGTTAAACTCATCAGAGAATGTCCCAGGTGGGTGATCTTCTCCTGGTAGGTTCCAGGAATAGACAATGACCGAAGCTCAGCTAAGAATACAAAAAATTATGAGACTTTAATCTTTTCTTTTGAAAACAATGATTACAACAAAAGTGAGGTTCTTGGTGTTTGGAAGACAGTAGATACTGACACAGTCCTGGTCTGACTAAACCTGACTCCAGCTCCTGAACCTTCCCCTAGGCCATCTGTCCCTTCCTTGTGAAGTCCTGTCCAGCGCAGCCAGAACCCCCACCCTCAATATCTGATCGGCTTCCTCATCCCCTGGGTCCCACAGGTGACGTTGGGTCTCACAGCCTGCCTTCCGCAACAGCCCCATTGGGTCGGTTTAGCTAAAATCCCCCTGGCTCCTCATGTTTGCTCAGTCATTTTCCATCCACTGTCCCACCCTGATCCTCGGCTATAAACTCCCCTTGGCCCCTGCCCCACTTGCAGCTGAGCTCCATCTCTCTCCCCACTGCAAAATCCCAGCATGGTGGCCCCAGGCCCGCCTCAATGGTTCTGAACAAAGCCTTTCTCACTGTGCCTGACAAGGGTCATTCAATACAGTCCTTCCTCTAACAACGCATGTAAAAAGACCGAAAGACAAATGTTAACACGTGTACTACTGCGGACTAAGTCCCTTGATTATCCCCTTCACACATTTCTGTACTTCCAACCTTTCTTAGATACAGGACCCTCATCACCTGAAAGAGGCACAGAAACCCAGGGCGACTCACTCGGAGTTGGAATGTCAGCACTGAGGAGCAGGGACCGCACCTGGGGTTTTAGCTCATGTTATTTCCCCATACCTCCAAGCCCACGCTCTTCCTTCCGCCTTTACTGCCTCTCCCTCCCAAACCGTCTCTCACCAAGAACGCCTCACTAATTCATCTCCCGCTTCCACTCTGGCTGCCCAATTCCATCACCCCTCACAGCCATCGCCATCTGAAACCACCAGCCGGGTAACCTGTCTGCTCTGTTCTCCCCCCACACCTCGGTGGGACCGTGCGAGCTCCGTGCACCGCGCCTGCCTCTGCAACACGCAGCCCTCGGTGGGACCGTGCGAGCTCCGTGCACCGCGCCT